TGACATCCATGTAATTTCCCTGCTTTTGACGACATTGTGTCAGAAGGAGCACCACAATTGGATAATTATTTTTTCTAGAAAACATGGCTTTGTGTGATTGTTTTGCCAATTCTATTGCCATTTCTCTCAACACACTCTTTGTAAAAAAAAATGTGTTGTGCATGTGCCTGGGTCATTTGCATGTGTTTTTTTCTTTGTCAGCCATAGTCAGTTGTTGCCAGTTGGGCAGCTTTTTAGACACCTGCTGTGCCTCTTGGTCCATAACTGTAAGGACATAAATTCTTCTTTTCCATAGATTGCCACACACGAATAGCAATTTTGACTAGCAAATTGCTTCATCAGCTTTGGTGCAACTGGAAGCCTGGAAAATTAACTTTTCATCTGATTTTTTTTTCAGCACTTAGATATAATCTTCGACATAGTCCTCCACTTATTTTTAGTATGACATCTGAAAAATTAAACCTTCCTGACATATCTTGAACGTATTACTTGTGTTCCTAATGCAGGTCATAATCTTCAGGCTCTACTATAAACTAGCAATAATTTTGTGCTGATATTTCATTTTTTCAGCATTATGCTCTGAACTTTCTTTATACATTGAACCAAGGGAGAGAATTACGCAAATGCCTATCTTCTATTTATTTGCAGTTTTCATCCCTTACCAGAAGAACTAGCACTGAGGGGTGATAGGAGTTACATTCCACCAATATCTGGAGGGCTGCACTATTCCCACCCTTTAAAGAAATGGAAATCAACTTACAAGGATGATAAAGTGAAAATACATATTCAGTTTAAAACAAAACCATTACAATTGTGTTGTCGAAGCCTTTCATGGCCAGAATCACTGGGTTTCTGTGAGTTTTTCGGGCTCTATGGCCATGTTCCAGAAGAATTCTCTCCTGACATTTCACCCACATCTGTGGAGGCCCCGGTGGTGCAGTGGGTTAAACCCCTGTGCCGGTGGGACTGAAGACCGACAGGTCGCAGGTTCAAATACGGGGAGAGGCAGATGAGCTCCCTCTATCAGTTCCAGCTCCTCATGCGGGGACATGAGAGAAGCCTCCCACAAGGATGATAAAAACATCAAATCATCTGGGCGTCCCCTGGGCAACGTCCTTGCAGACAGCCAATTCTCTCACACCAGAAGCGACTTGCAGTTTCTCAAGTTGCTCCTGACATGACAAAAAAAAACAACCCACATCTATGGCAGGTATTCTCAGAGGTTGTGAGGTATATTAGAAACTAAGCAAGTGAGGTTTATATATCTGTGGAAAGTCCAGGGTGGGAGAAAGAGCTCTTGTCTGTTGGAGGCAAGTGTGAATGTTGCAATTAATCACCTTGATGAGGAGCCACACACTAAACCCTTGTGCCGTCAGGAATGAAGACCGACAGGTTGGAGGTTCAAATCTGGGAAAAGCGCAGATGAGCGCCCTTCTGTCAGCCCCAGCTCCCTATGAGAGGACATGAAAGAAGCCTCCCACAAGGATGGTCAAATATCAGACATTCGGGCGTCCCATGGGCAATGTCCTTGCAGATGGCCAATTCTCTCACACCAGAAGCAACTTGCAGTTTCTCAAGTCACTCATGACACACACACACAAACCTTGATTAGCATTGCAAAGCCTTGCAGCTTCAAGCCTGACTGATTCCTGCCTAGGGGAATCCTTTGTTGGGATGTGTTAGCTGGCCTGAATTGTTTCATGTCTGGAATTCCACTGTTTTCAGAGTGTTGTTATTTATTTACTGTCCTAATTTTAGAGTTTTTAAAATAGTGGTTGCCAGATTTTGTTCATATTATAGTTTTCTCCTTTCTGTTGACATTGTCCTCATGCTTATGTATTTTAGTGACATCTCCATGTAATCTGACATGGTGGTTGTTAGAGTGGTCCAGCATATCTGTGTTCTCAAATAATATGCTGTGTCCAGGTTGGTTCATCAGGTGCTCTGCTAAAGCCGACTCCTCTGGTTGAGTTAGTCTGCAGTGACTTTCATGTTCCTTGATTCATGTTTGGGTGCTGCGTTTGGTGGTCCCTATGTAGACTTGGCCACAACCGCATCTTAGACTCCTGCAGAGGCGAGAGGATCCCTCTTGTCCTTTGCTGAATGTAACATTTGTTGGATTTTCTTAGTGGTAGTTTGGATTTTCTTAGTTGATAGTTTGTAGGTTGTGTTTCCTCGTCAGCTTTCCTATGCTGTCAGTATATGTATGGCAAGAACACTTTTCCTCTGGGTGCATCTTTGTCTTTACTCCCGTGGTTTGTTTTTGATTTTGCAGCTCTTCTGATGTCTGTGGTGGAGTATCCATTGGCCTGTAGAGCCCAGTTTAAACGGTTCAGCTCACTTTGGAAGAAGTGTGGTTTGCAGATTCTTTTGCACTGAGCACTCACAGCAACCCATTACAATTGTAATTAATTTTTCTAAAATTGATTTCTTGCATAATATTAATAACAACAAAAACTTTATTTATATCTCACTGCCATCTCCCAAGAAGGGACTCAGTAGCTTCCATGGCAACAAAAGTAAGCAATTGGTGTTGCTTACATGACAACAAAAGTGCAATACAAAACAAAAGTGCAATATAAAAATGCAATACAAAACATAAAATATAAAAAAGTTTGCCCAAATCAATGAGCAACACCAATTAACATAACTATTTACAATAATTAACAGAATACGATTGGAAATCAAATAAGCATAACTGCTGAGAACACAACAATAAATTGAAGATAAAAATTGCCATCAAGCATTGCCATCAAAAGCAATTCAGTAAAAAAAAAAACCCGTGAAGAGACAGAATTTTATCACATCTTAAAATCTCTGTGGGACAAAGGGTTTTAGAGTGAAAATAATCCTAGTGAGACTTATTTTTCTATACTGTTATTTTCTGTGAAGTATTCCTTTTCTTTTCTTACTTTCTGATTTAATTGAGTAAGTCTTTCTAAGTAAAATCTTGTACATTTTAATTATTTTTCACCACACAATTTTCACAAAAGTCAGTATTTTCAAATAAGTAAAAACTGAATACACTTCCATGGCTTCAAGTGGAATTAACTCGATGTTGTTACATCACTTTGCATTCCGAGTTAACATTTCAGTCCTTTAGAAAAGGAGTATGTTCATAAATGTTATTGTGTCCCTTAAGGTCTTTTGCCATTTCTGGCTCCTTTCAGTAAAATATGCTCCTAGGGGCACGCTGCCTCTGAAGCCTCTGTAGTTTTTCCCTTCAGGCAAATTGCTTTATATGAAATCCATAAAAATGATTTTGTTTTATATAAAATCAAATTAAGTGGCATAAATGCAGGTTTCTGGAAAGTGGATGGGGCAGGAAAAAAGGGTTTTATATAAAAGTACACGCTCTCTCACCAACTAAAAAAAGACAGCATCTATTATGTTGGCTCTTATAAAAGAATTCCTTTTAAACAACAATATGAAATTGTAGAGTTTTTTTTTCCTTCTAAAGCTTTAAAAAGCACTGAAATAAAGGAACTGGAGTTACTTTCTCGTTCATCGAAATGTCTGCACAGTCTGTTTTACCTCTTAAGCATAATCAGTGTGTATGTGTAAATCAATAAAAGTAATTTTTGAGGAGATGTAGATAATCCCATAGCTATTGAAGAATTAGACTCCAAATTCTTGAGCACTAAAACCAGCACTATTTCTGGCTAATCAGACATATCTTTGCTGATACAGATGTGCAGTTCTCATGACCAGTATGATTTCTGAAGTGTTATTCACACGAGACCACAACTACTTTTTAATGGACAGAAAAAATACACCTTTTTCCTCATTATGGAATGCAAATGATCTGAATTGTAATTTGATCCAAGAAAGTAGCACACCAATGAAAACCCTTAACACTCAGTGGAGGTCGCGGTCTTCCCTGAGGAATACTCCCACCTTTTTAGTATTTCCTGGCGTATAAGACTACTTTTTAACCCAAGAAAATCTTCTCAAAAGTCAGGGGTCGCCTTATACACCGAAATTGCCTTATATGCAGGAGTTGTCTTATACATGAGAGTAGTCTTATATGCCAGGAGTAGTCTTATAGAGCGGGTGCTGAAACTTCCGATCCGGGTTGGAGAATCTGTGGTTGCCGCATATAGTGGGGGGAGCTCAAAAATGGCAGTGGCTGCACCCCTGCCATATGCAGCGACTGTATGAAAACATTAAGGGTGAGGCTGTACAACTACGATAGAAGAAAATCCATTCACCAGGATTCGTGGACTTAATGCGGTCCCGATGGTGAGATGAAGGGGCGCCTCACCGGGAAGGTGTAAGTGAAGGGCGGAGCAAGCTGCAGGTGTCCAGGGCACCCGGGGTATGGAAAAAAGAGATAGAGTGGCCCTGGGCCCAGAAAAACACACCTCTTTTACCTGTCAGGCCCACCCTTGTATCCTATTACCGTACGACCTCCTCTGCCTCTTAGATGTCGCTCCTGAAGACTGCCGTGAAGTGGTGCAGGTGCGCATGTGCGAGATCTGAAAGGCAGAGAAGGAAGTACAGTAATAGGAAAATTACTATATTGAAATCAAATCCGAATTTTATTTGGGGTGCGTTGGAAGAGGGGTAGTCTTATACAGCGAGTATATCCCAAACTCCATATTTTAACTGGAAAAGTTGGGGGTCGTCTTATACCCTCAGTCGTCTTATATGCCAGAAAATACGGTATATTTATTACCAGCATGCTAAAATCTTGTTCATAAAAATAGGATGTCCAGGGTGACTTCTGCCCTCTGGAACTCATCCAAGAGATATGTTCCTTTATGCCATAAAGGAACTGATCTTTTGGATGAGTTCCAGAGGGCAGAAGTCACCCTGGACATCCTATCTTTATGCTTTCATACTAATAATGGAGAATCTGTAATTTACATCAATTTGTGCTTTCTTAACTTTCCCATTTGGGCTGTTGATACCCTTAATTACATTATCTTGGGCCACTATTTCTTGCATCCTGTAGTTAATGATTTTCATATAATCCTTTCGCTTTTTTCTTTTCTTAGGTTGTTTGAAGGACGTTCTCCTAGGAAGCCTGAGAAACTGAAAACCCTTTTCTGCTACTTCAGAAAAGTCACAGAAAAAAGTAAAAGCATCTTGTTTATCTATGAATTTATTTGTAAAATTCTGCTCTGTGTAGCTCTCCTTTTCATATCTAACTGTTTGACTAATAGATGTTTTTCAATGCTTCTTTTGTACAAAGGAGCTCATGCTTAGTAGGGTTTATGTAATGAAACTGTTACTTCAGGATAAAAGGGTAATGTAAAAACAAGGTTCCCCTAGTGTGGCTTGTTCAGATATTACTGGGATTCTCTCTGAGCCGTGGCAGGGAATTGGCCTTTCGGTCATATCAGTCGGTTAGGAAAAAAGTGAAAAAGGATCACAGGAGATCCATGTATGTTTTGAACATAAGAATTCCTAACCCACTGATGATTATATAAAAACAATGACAAGTTTAAATCTTTGATATTTTGTTCAGCAGAATTTAGAACAAGAATATTGTAAATCCCACCATCAGTGTATCCTTACCTTTGTTGTCCACTGCAGCTTTTCTGGGTGATTGTAATTCTTATACATTTTCTTATTAAGTCTTTCAGGTAGTTTAAAATAGTGTTTATTTTTTCACTCCTCTACAAAAACATCTAGATAATAAACAAAATGAATCCAAATGCTCCAAGACAAGCTGGAATGGCAACTAAAAATGATCAAAGGTCTGGAGAACAAGCCCTATGAGGAGTAGCTTAAAGAGCTGGGCATGTTAGGCTAAAGAAGAGAAGGTTGAAAGGAGACATGATAGCCATGTATAAATATGTGAGGGGAAGTCATAGGGAGGAGGGAGCAAGCTTGCTTTCTGCTGCCCCTGAGACTAGGACACGGAACAATGGCTTCAAACTATAGAAAAGGAGATTCCACCTGAACATTAGGAAGAACTTCCTAACTGTGAGAGCCATTCAGCAGTGGAACTCTCTCCCTCGGAGTGTGGTAGAGGCTCCTTCTTTGGAGGCTTTTAAACATAGGCTGGATGGCCATCTGTTAGGGGTGCTTTGAATGCGATTTTCCTGCTTCTTGGCAGGGGGTTGGATTGGATGACCCACAAGGTCTAGTCCAACTCTATATTTTGATGATTCTAAGACAAAGTAGGCGAAGTGCAACCTTCTAGATGCCGTGAGACTATAGCATAACTAGTGGGGAGGGATGCTGACAGTTGTAGTCCAACAATATCTGGAGGGCCCTGGTTTGTACTCGTAAGATCTTTGAGAAAACCTTGGAAGTAGTATAGCTTTACAAGAATATAGTTCAGAGAATGATATGTCCCTTTTTATGTTTTGCACTGCAAGTCACACCAGCCCTAACAAATATGGACAATGAGCAGGAATTCTCTAAATTGTTATTTAACAATAGAACTGCGCTACCGTAATATATTGCTGAAGTATATAGCTTGAATATGCCTCTTGCCATTTCTAAATAGTAACTGATAAAGGGTGGGATCTTTTCAATAACTCCTGACAACCGTTAGATTAGTAAAAGTTTCCTCATTGTAGCCCCCTTGCAAGAAGACAAACTTGTGCTTTGTTGTTGTTTTTTTCAGTTTAATGAATAAATAATGTGGTACGAATTCATTCTTCCAGTTAACATCAATTAAATATCATATTCCCCATGGTTTTATTATAAATAAGAATTAAATTACTTGTTACATTATCCCAAGCCACTGAAATACCAGGAGCTGTGCTTTTTAAAAAATGAATATTTAAATTATGAAAATTAGTACAGTATATTCTGGCGTATAAGACTACTTTTTAACCCAAGAAAATCTTCGCAAAAGTCAGGGGTCGTCTTATACGCAGGTGTAGTCTTATGCATGGGAGTCGTCTTAACTCTATATTTTAACTGGAAAAGTTGGGGGTCGTCTTATACGCCCAGTCGTCTTATATGCCGGAATATACGGTATATAATACAAGAGTGCTTTGGGGGTAATAAAGTATAAGATTAATGTAAAAAACACTACTTTTGAAAAAGGAAACGCACACAAAAAAAGTTTCATCACTTGTAACTTCTGACAGGGTAAGAGGGCTCTTTCTAAATGCTTTCCATAAAGTCCGAGAATATTGCAGGTCCACCTTTTTTATCTTATTAATTTAGGGAACCTGCCAGTCTATTTGTAGCAAAACATACAACATGAGACATTTCCAGGGGAATAAAGGAGTACTGACATATTTAATCAAGTGTATGTTTATTCAGGAGGCCCATTGTGCTAAATGATGTTTATTACCAAGTAAAATTTACATTTCAGCCTGGGCTCCCGTTGATAGAATTGCATCTGTCAGTAGATCAGCTTTCATTCCCCCTAGAAGTTCTCCCCATCCATCCTCTCCAGGTTTCTTAGCAGTGTTTTGTATACTTTCTCTCTTGATGAAATGGAATAATTAAACATAATTTTGCCATGAACAATGTGTATCTATTGCATTTGTCTTTCTTGTAGAACCCACTGGACTGGTGACATTTACAAGACAGTGTCTACAGGAATTTCCTGAGTGGGAAAGGTCAGTTTTAAAAAGACTCTCCTGAGGTGTCTTTGCTTTGCTTTTGAAAAATTTACTGAAAATCCTGGTAACATTAGAAGTCAAGTTCAGCACTTTTAAATTTTGTCCATTACATTTGGCCCGGCCTTTAGGTTTTAATGCGTCATGATGTCATTGTTTTAGTGTTTTATTGTTTTGCTTGATGTTTTACTATTTGCTTATGAGTTTTACTGTGATATTTGTATGTTGTTGTTGTTGGCAGCCTTGGCCTTTGTAAGCCGCATCGAGTCCTTCGGGAGGTTTTGCGGGGTATACATAAAGTTAATAATAATAATAATAATTTCAGATTTTGAAGGTACTTTAAGGGTATAATTGTTTGTGCTTATTTCCAAGGCGAAGCATCTCCAAGATATTTCCCAAAGCAAAAGGGTCAAGTCATAAAATAAAATCTATTTCTAATTAAAACAACAAAGTAGTTGAAAGGGGTTAGCAATTAGTATCACTGTATAAACAATAAATGTTTTCTCAGTTGAAATCGGCCTGGAATTAATAATTTTGATGGCCAATTTAAATAGAGGAATCTAGGCTCGTAATCTTGTAATAATCAAAACTTTATTTATAACCTGCCCCATCTCCCTGAAGAAACTCAGAGCGGTTTCCAACAAAAAAATGGCAAACATTATGATATGACAGATAAACAATATCATGGACAAGAGCATTCAGTTGTAGCTGTCACAAAAAAGGACCTTCCTTTTCTGTCTGTCAAGAAATCTTTCTAGTGACATAGAAGCTGAGCGTATGTGGATGATATTATGGATTGGACAGATATGTGTGGTAGTCCTCAAGAAGTTTAGGCCCATTGGCAACCAGAACATCTAATTTGGAGTTGGTGCCTTATTCTGATCACCTAGTGCTCATAGGCAACAAACGACTGCATATTACAATAGCTGAAACCTCAAAAACACTATTAGAGGCATACACATATTGACTGCATGGTAGCCCATGGACGATGGTGGGATGATCTGTGTGCTGGAATCACATAAGTGCAAGTTCCTTTTGTCAGGTTGCCTTACCCACAGCTTGAAAGTAGCCATTTTTCTGTTAGCTTTATGAGGGTGGAGCTTAAGGAAACCCTTTCTGGTATGGAGCAGTAATTTGGCCCACCCCTTTGCCTGCGGAAAGGGAGCCATTTTGGAATAGAGTTATTACCACCAGGGAATCTTGGAAGCAATAGGTGCCTATAGTTGGACAAGCCATTTCAAGCCAATACTAATTACTATTCAGAGAACTTATTTGATTATGCTGATCTACCGCTGGTCAGTGGCAGCCTGTGCAGTTTCCAGCACCTTCGGCAAGGTGCCAGGCCTCAATAGGAGAGACCTTCTCTCTCAACCTCCGTCCTGATCACCTTGGGCATTGGGTGCCTCAGAGGCCCTTTACCAGAGAAAGTGAGCAAGGGAAACTTTCATCTGTCCTTCATCTCCAGAATCATCCACTAGCAGTGACTTCAAGAACAACCAGTTACCTTTATACTTTAGGTATGGACTTTGTTGTGGGAAAACCAAGATAGTGCCTGGGTGGAGATAGGCCCAAGACCAATAAATAAATTGTTACGGTTTCTCTAAAGCAATATTGTGGGCATTGATTCTGTGGGGTTCCTTGCTCAACAGGAAGGCAAACCACCACCCTCCAAGCTGATAGAAAGTTAAGACACGTTAGCACTAAAGACATTTGAAGTAACTTGGGTGCAACGGCACAGTCTGCTTTCTCCAGATACAGGTAGAACTAGCGAACTACCAAAGCCATTAGAAAACACTTCAATAAGTAACTCCATCTGAACTCACAAGGACTCTCAAGCTCTCTTGATCCTTCAGTATGAGTGAGATCCCATCCAATACTCTCTCATGCCTCCACCCAGATCAACAGATTTTCTTACTCATCATATTTCTCTCTTACTTGGGTTATTCCTTAGTTTGTCTGCCCCCATTCACCCCAAAACTGCTTCTCGACATCTTTTCAGACTTTCCACAACTTCTGTGGCATGTAGCTCTACCTCATTTTTCCACATCTTTTTATCCCCACCCAGCATTTAACATATTTCTTGGAAATGTTATCCATCTTCTATATGACTCAATATAAGCAGTACAGATGCAGTGATGACCCCATAAACCTTGCTTGACAGCTGTGTCGGACTGGATGAGAGCTAACAAATTGAAATTGAATTGAAATTGAATCCAGACAAGACAGAGGTCCTACTGGTCAGTCAGAAGGCCGAACAGGGCATAGGGTTACAGCCTGTGTTTGATGGGGTTACACTCTCCCTGAAGACGCAGGTTCGCAGCATGGGAGTGATCCTGGACTCATCGCTGAGCCTGGAACCCCAGGTCTCAGCGGTGGCCGGGAGAGCTTTTGCACAATTAAAACTTGTGCGCCAGTTGCTCCGGTACTTTGGGAAGTCGGATCTGGTCCACGCTCTTGTTACATCCCGAATAGATTACTGCAATGCACTCTACGTGGGGCTGCCTTTGAAGACTGTTCAGAAACTTCAATTAGTCCAGCGGGCGGCGGCCAGATTACTCACCAGAGCGTCATACAGGGAGCATACCACCCCTCTGTTATGTCAGCTCCACTGGCTGCCGATCCAGTTCCGAGCACAATTCAAAGTGCTGGTTTTGACCTACGAAACCCTATATGGCTCCGGCCCAGCGTACCTGTCCGAACGTATCTCCTTCTGTGTCCTGCCTTGGAGTTTAAGATCCTCTGGGGAGGCCCTGCTCTCAGCCTCACCTCTATCACAAGTGAGGTTGTTGGGGACGAGGGACAGGGCCTTCTCGGTGGTGGCCCCTCGCCTGTGGAATTCGCTTCCCGGGGAAATTAGGTCATCGACATCCCTCCTCTCTTTTAGAAGGAAACTAAAAACATGGATATGGGACCAGGCCTTTGGGTAATCTGGCAGACAGACAAAGGACAATGACGACTAGAACTGGATAGAATTATAACAATGCAGAATGAACTTACGGATAATGAGCTTGGCAAACGTTGATCACTAGATTGGTTTTTATTAGTTGTACTGTATAACTGGATTGTTTTAATTGTTTTATAATTGTTGCTGCTATGTATTTTATCTTACTATGTGTATTGCTGGCATCGAATTGTGCCTTTTGTAAGCCACCCTGGGTCCCCCTTTGGGGGTTGAGAAGGGCGGGGTAGAAATACTCGAAATAAATAAATAAATAAGCAAGCCATAAAAATAAAAGGACTTACCCATACCACTTGTTGGTTGTTGATTTTGATGTTATCAGTCTCTGCTCCATCATTTCTAGTCATAATTTCACTCAAACCTTTTGCAGATGCATGTTTATATATTGAACTTGGATGTGTAGGTTACATGTCTTTTAATAAGTTGGAATGATGTAGTTCCATGAGCCCAAACATATGTTTACGTGTATACAGCATGAGTGTGTACATGTACACAATGTGAGTGAATGTCTGTGTGACGTCTGATTCGCTTATTTTGATATCAGCACACAGTTACCTTTTTCTTTACTTACATCCCTTGCTTGCCTAAGATGACAAATGTATGTTTGTTATGAAAGAAACAGCGGAATGAGAAATGTTGTGCTGTGTCTTGCAAATGACATAAAAGAAATGTTTCACTCCTGCTATTTCTCAGCTGTACTCTAGTTAGCGTATGATAAATGGATAACTAAACCCTAAAGGGCATATGAGAGATGCCATTTCAGAAGCCATTTCTTAGTGGAAGTACTTACTCTGGAGGGGAATTGACATTACATTCCCTTGGTGCTCATAACTTGAGAAATCTTCCTCTGCCTTTTATGGAGGGATAGGTTTCTAAAGATAATGATGTCACAGTCAATTTATAAGAGACTTGCTTTTTTTGATTATTTTTTATTTTACAAGATCATACTCCACTTGTAGTACAAATGTGGAGGTAAAACTGCAAATATGTAGTTCATTTTTACAATTGTTTAAAACTGAATGTAGTTTAGATTAGAAGAAATGAGAATAAATGTGGAATAACTTTACTGAATTGATACCAATATTCAATATGTATGTAAACCTCATTTATTCAATAGGTTTCTTATAACTGGTGATACCAATTGGATTTAGACCATGCTTTAGGTCTATTAAACAACATATTTAATAGAAATTAAAATTCAGTTATCTCTTCTAAAGTACAATAATGTATTTACATTTCAGTGTATATATGTTTGTTTGATTACAGATCTCAGAAAAAAATGTCAAGGTTGCATGTCACATATGAAGGTACTATTGAAAACAACGGGCATGGAATGCTACAGGTAAGATAGAATCACACATAGATTGGTGCTGAAATTTTACTGACCATTACTTTATTTTAGCAGAATAGTTCAGTTTTAGCCTAGATTGTGCAAAAGTAGGAAGCCATTATGCAGCATATGAGACATTGATTGTTCTGACAGTCTTAACATTATCTATTGTATCCAGCATACCTTGTTTTCCACATTTGTGCCCTGTTGAAAAACCTTTTGATTGACAGTCATAAGACCTTGATAGCTCCAGGTTCTTCAGGTCAGACAGAGACTGAAGAGTGACAGAAACAAGGCTTTCAGGGTATGAAAGTGACAGCCTTCCAATTTTCTGTTTATATTGTTTTGCTTTTGAAGCGATGTTACTGTGCCCGACCTGGTGACCCATTCAGCAGTACAGGAAGTTTTGTCCCCTGGTAGTGGAATTGTTTTGATCCAAGAGCTAGTTAGCGAAAATAGATTGAAAAGAAGCCACCTTACCTGCAGACATTAAAAATTAAACTAAAAGGGAGCTTGATTTTGAAATGCAATCCAGAATACTGTGTCATGCTTTGCTATAGTATGTTTAATAACTTATATCTTTTTGGACCCATCTGAAAAGTCATGATTACAGTAATAGTAGGATTTACAGCATGTTTAAGAGAGAACTCTCTCAAACTTCTGCAGAAAACTTCATTGCAACAAATGGAAACTGAGCAAGACATGACTGTGGCCGTTTGTGGTTTCCATTCCCTTTGATGATGCTTTCCTAAGAGACTTTTCCAGAATACAATTCTCATAGACCATTCATGCAATAAAACCTGCTTAAATCCATATCATGTAGTTATAGAATCGTAGAGTTTGGAAGAGACCTCGTGGGCCATCCAGTCCAACCCCCTGCCAAGTAGCAGGAAAATCGTATTCAAAGCACCCCCGACAGATGACCATCCAGCCTCTGTTTAAAAGCCTTGAAAGAAGGAGCTTCCACCACACTCCGGGGCAGAGAGTTCCACTGCTGAACAGCTCTCACAGTCAGGAAGTTCTTCCTAATTTTCAGGAGGTATATCCTTTCCTGTAGTTTGAGGTCATTTTCCCGTGTCCTGGTCTCCAGGGCAGTAGAAAACAAGACTAATGGGAGATAGTAAGATAGCGATCCCAGCTGTTGCAATTAAATCTACAAAAAGTCTAGTGACCCTTTATACATCTCATGAAGCAAGATGAAGTCCACAAACTTCAGTCATAATAATAATATTACAAAGGCCTTGGCCTTTGTAAGCCGCATCGAGTCCTTCGGGAGATGCTAGCGGGGTACAAATAAAGTTTAATAATAATAATAATAATAATAATAATAATAATAATAATAATAATATAATTAAAACATATAATTAAAATACTGTTGAATTATTCATTACCCATAGATTTAAAATAAATTAAAATCAATACACTCAGAGTGCATCTATACTGTAATAATAATAATAATAATAATAATAATCTTTATTTATACCCCGCCACCATCTCCCTGATGGGGACTCGGAGCGGCTTACATGAGGCCAAGCCCAGACAACAAATTACAATAGAATAAAACTGAAAACACAAACTGAAAATTCAAACAATAAACAACAACATCATAATTACATAAAACAGGTGAATACATAACAATATACAATTACAATAAGCACAATAACAATGGGCAAGCTGCATGTAATGATTAAAAGAGAAACTAATTAAAAACTCGGGCGAGATAAAAGAGAGACAGATTATTTGCGGAGGAGGGCATAATACATCTTTATGCTAAATAAGATGTATTAGTCCTTAATATGTCATGATATTATGTGTTGTTTTTATTCTGAATTTGTAATCCTCTTACTTTCTTTTGCATAAAAAAGTCAAATGATGCAGATGTTCAAACTTTTCACCCCTGATTAAAATGGAACTAAATAACTTAGATCAGTGATTTTTATATGATAGAAAGGGGTTATGAACTCTACTGTCTAACGCATTTTATGTATTACAGTAATGTATAACCCAATCTTAGAAGTATATAAAGTTTTTGAAATTGTCAGCCCATAGAAGAGGTAGAAATACCCATAAAATCAGAAATGGCAGCCATGCTCAATTAGAGCAGTCTTAAGGCAGCAATTCTTCGTCCTTTGGAGACGCCATATTATGAGAGCCGATTGTCTAAAATATGTATCCACGTATAACTAGCAGGAAGGTTTCCTACAAGCTATGCAATTCATAGTGATATGGAAATATATAACAGTTAAATATAGGAAAAACCTGTGTCTATAAATTATTTATTTTTCTTTATCATGAAAATACATCAGTGTGAGTAGCAGATGTTCGCCAGATTCAGATTTGGTGAAATGTGCATGCAATGTCCGTATTATTGTTAGCATATTGATAATAGCTAGTGTAATTACATGATTTCATTACTACTCTCATTGTATTGTCTCCCCTGCTATTTACTGATATAGTTCATTGGCTTATTCTCATGAATTAGATTAGTATAATTCTCAGAAAAGAGGCTGCCAACCTTTTGTCCTCATACAACTCCTTCTGTAATGACTGATTTGAGTCTTGGAACTCTGCTACAGTATGAAAAATGAATGGACGTACTTAGTCAACAGTTAATATATTTATAGTTGATGAATGGCTGAGGCAGAAAACGGAAGGGTGTCTTAATTAGGATTTAGTTAAAAAGCTTTGGGGTTTGCTGTTCCCATTTCTTCTTCTGTGACTTTGGGTAATCCATTTTTATATCTTCATCTCTGGAGTGAGGGTATTTCCAACTAAAAGGTTGTCCTGAATCAACTTGGCCATATTTCTTTTATGCTTTCTGTTGAAACAGAAAGCTGATTCCACAGCATTTTATTATTTTCTCCTGAAACATGTATTAAAAGCAAGATGTGTTTTAAAACCACAAAGCAATATTAAATATTCTCCCAATCCTCTCAAAACTGTACTCCTTGGAGGAGGAAAAATATTGTATAATGCATTTGTTGTACTGTATAAATTTGCATTGAACGCACTCGGAATAGTCTCACCTGAGAGATGTGATTGTCAGTCCCATTTCAGCTACTTGGTTTTCTGTTGTGCATAAGCAGAACAAATCCCTCTTCTTGGACAAGCTGAGATTAAATATGAAAAAGAGCTCTCTCTTGAGTCTATCACATCTTTTGAGCAGTGCTGCACCCACAAATATGTTTTTGCCTTTTCATTGTAGCCTCCATTGTTTTTCAAACAATTCAGTTATTTTAATAGATGTAGTTCTTGAATTTCTGTCAAATTTATCATATAAAATCCTAAATTAAAATAGCATAGTAAAATACAGATCTAGATAAAGAAAAATAAAACATAAGAAAAAGTGACACTATGTCATCAAAAAATTAAATTGTCAGAAAGGGGTGGAACTTCAGCTAGATCAGCATTTCTCAACCTGGGGGTTGGGACCCGTGGGGGGGGTCGTGAGGGGGTGTCAGAGGGGTTGCCAAAGACTATCAGAAAACACAGTATTTTCTATTGGTCATCAGGGTTCTTTGTGGGAAGTTTGGCCTAATTCTCTCATTGGTGGGGTTCAGAATGCTCCTTGATTGCAGGTGAACTATAAAGCCCAGCAACGACAACTCCCAAATGTCAAGGTCTATTTTCCCCAAACTCCACCAATGTTCACATTTGGGCATATTGAGTATCCATGCCAAGTTTGGTCCAGATCCATCATTGTTTGAGTCCACAGCGCTCTCTAGATGGAGGTGAGCTATGACTCCCAAACTTAAGGTCAATGCCTAGTGTTGGTCATAGGAGTCCTGTGTGCCAAGCTTGTTTCAATTCCATCGCTGGTGGAGTTCAGAATGCTCTTTGATTGTGGGTGAATTATAAATCCCAGCAACTACAACTCCCAAAGGACAAAATCAACACACACACCCGCAAACCCCGCTCCAGTATTCAAATTTGGGTTTATTGGGTATTTGTGTTAAATTTGGTCCAGTGAATGAAAATACATTCTGCCTATCAGATATTTACATGACAATTCATAACAGTAGCAAGACTACAGTTAGGAAGTAGCAACAAAAACAGTGTTATGGTTGGGGGTCACCACAACAGGAGGAACTGTATTAAGTGGTCGCGGCATTAGGAAGGTTGAGAAACACTGAGCTAGATCATCTGTCCTTTCTGGGGGTGGAGCCAGCAGTTGAGCTCCAGTGGTGCGCACAACTTATCCAATGCTGATCTTGGACAAACATAGTTAACAGGAGACTCAAGGGATTTTGAGAAGGAGGACCACCGTTCAGTAAAAGCTCCTGTTTGGTAACCTGAGTCACCAAGATATGGAGCAGGGGCAAGCTGTTCCAGTCACATCCAGTGGCTGTGGGATGTTCATCTTCTTGATAGAACATCTAGTGAGCTACATCTGCAACAAATGCAAACAGCTCGCTTTAATGGAAGAGAAGATTGAGCAACTCAACACCCGGATTAAGACACTTAGGTACCTTAAGAAACTCAAGTTTTTCTTAGACACAGCCCAGCAGACTATTCTAGATACACAACCCACATCAGATGAACATTCAGTGCAAGGCTATGGGGAGGTCACTTCAAATGTGGAGAATGCTGATGCTTGGAAATATGTGACATTTAGAAAGAGAAACATGACCAGGCAGATGAACTACATACAAGAGCATTAATGGAATAGCAGAAGTCATTTCAGAACCACTGGCAATAATCTTTGAGAATTCTTGGAGAACAGGAGGAGTCCCAGCAGACTGGAAGAGAGCAAATATTGTCCCTATCTTCAAGAAGGGAAAAAAAGAGGATCCAAACAATTATCGTCCAGTTAGCCTGACATCAATAACAGGAAAGATTAAGGAGGCAGGCTGGAATCACTTAGAAAGGAATGCTGTGATTACTAAAATTCAATATGGTTTTCTCAAAAACAAGTCATACCAAACTAATCTTGTCTCTTTTTTCAATAGAGTTACAACTTTGGTAGATGCAGGGAATGCTGTGGATATGGATGTAGCATATTTTGATTTCAGAAAGGCCTTCAACAACATCCCCCATGACCTTCTTGGAAGCAAACTAGTCAAATGTGGGCTAGGCAATACTACTATTAGGTGGTTCTGTAATTGGCTAAGCGAGCAAAACCAAAGGGTGTTCACCAATGGTTCCTCTTCATCCTTGAAAGAAGTGACTAGTGGAGTGCAGCAGAGTTCAGTCCTGGGCCCAGTACTACTAATCATCTTTATTAATGACTTAGATGATGGTTTAGTGCAGGCATCCTCAAACTGCAGCCCTCCAGCTGTTTGGGACTTCAACTCCCAGAATTCCTGACAATTGAACAAGCTTGTTAGGGCCTCTGGGAGTTGGAGGCCGAAATAGCTGGAGGGCCTCAGTTTGAGGATGCCTAATTTAGAGGGTGTGCTTTTCAAGTTTGCAGAATGACACCAAATTAGGAGGGCTAGCTAATACTCCAGAGGACAGGATCAGAATTCAAAATGACATTAACAGATTAGAGAGCTGGGCCAAAACTAACAAAATAAATTTCAACAAGGACAAATGTAAGATACTATACTTAGAATTGTACTCGGAAGCCAGTGGGCAGCCAGTGGAGCTGGTATAACAAGGGAGCTGATGTACGGAGCATTAACATTATAATTGTAAATTTGTACTTCTTTATTCAATATAAGTTTATATTTCATACCTGTTTATTGATTATTGATCTATACATACTGTCAAAAGAGACATTGACAAGGTGTCCAGGGGAGGGCAACTAAAATGATCAGAAATCTAGAGACCATACCTACTAGAAGCGTCTTAAAGAGCTGGGTATGTTTAGCCTGAAGAAGAGAAGGTTGAGAGGAGACTTTATAGCCATGTATAAATATGTGAAAAAGTGTCCTAAGGAAGAGGGAGGAGGCTTGTTTTCTGCTGCCCTTGAAACTAGGACTCAGAGAAATGGTTTCAAATTAGAAGAGATTCCACCTGAATATTAGGAAGACCTTCATGACTGTATGAGCTGTTCAACAGTGGAACTCTGCCCCGGAGTGTGTTCCTGTCTTGGAAACTTTTAAACAGAGTCTGTGTGGCCGTCTGTCAGAGATACTTTGTGCTTTTCCTGCATGGCAGGGGGTTGGACTATATGGCCTATGTGATTTCTCTATTATTCTATGATTCTATGAAATTAAACTATCTTTTCAGGTTCACCAAAGAGATGGTAACAAACATACACACCAAGCTAGCATCCTTACGGGAAGCTCTCAATAAGCAAGGCTCTCTCCCTGTTAGTAACCCTTGGACTCTCGTTCTCAGGGTCACCCACAAAAGAGCCTCTGACCTTAGTGTACAGGCAGGCTGATTTACTTTTCTATTAAATCAGGGTTTTCTCTTTACTCTCCTTTTTAATCAGAGGATTAAAGGAGGAGACTCTCGAGACTCATAAAGGAGACACAGCATTATTGAAAACAGATAACAAGCACTGATTACACAGCCCCACCAAAAAAAAAGTCAATGTCTTGATTTTTAGGCCTGTTCCTGGGGTCATTTGGGGCACCGATTCAGAAAATTGCATTAGATAGAACGTATCTGCTCTAATTTCTTAGATATGGTCATCAAGATTTTCTATGGGTGAGAATATGATGACTTATATACACACACACACACAATTTGTATCTCAAAAACTGAGGCTAGTAGAGGGGAAAATGGTGCCATTTTTGGGCTTGGGGGCAAAAATATCCAGAAACAGGGCTAGCATTTGAGGCATCAAAATTTGTGTTGGCCAGTGCGCTCTCTTTCTCTTTCTCTCTCTCTCTCTCTCTCTCTCTCTATATATATATATATATATATTGTGCATTCTGTTCAGTATCAAAAACAGTGAGTATACAGGTTGCTATTGCCCAATAATAAATTATTGACTTTGTGAATAAACACTGTCAGATTTTTCAGATGTCTTAAGTCAGAAATATCTGAGAATGGAAAAGTACTGATAGAATTTGGTTACTTAACTATATATGCCCAGGATCACATTGCTAGTGGCCAAGGATATAACCAGGAGACAATTCTTTGTTGTCATTTTAATGTGCCTCAGCCTAATTTGGAGTTCCTAATATGCCAACTGTATTCCAATTATCATTTGCCAGTTGTCACTCACCAAAATGCATATATTAGGGGGGGAAAGTGTGCACACAAATATGTACATGAATAAAAATGAAAGACCAGACATATATTAGGGGAAATTATTTGCAAAAATGTACGTATTGGTAAAAAATGTGCCAAAAGTGCACCACAACGTCATGGGTTTTTATAAAGACACATAAAGACCAATTAAAAAAATTAAAACAATCATAGGACCAGGAAACTAAAAGCTAGAAGGAAAATCAAATTCATAGATTTTTATGAATATGAACATTGTCACTTTTTTCCCCTACATAATTTTTATTACCATATTTGCCTCTCTAGGAGGTCAGTAGACATGATTAATTTGATGCATTTTGGTTGACCTAATGAAGGTGCTGCCACAATGTGTACTTTGAATGTAATATAACTGGTTCAGGCTGAATAGTGGTGGCACTGCATAGAAGTTGTTAATCAAAACACAAAAGAAGTGTAGATGATTGTGACAACTGAGTGTGAGCAGTATATATTGCATTATTTAAAAAGGTTGTGGTGTATGGGAAGGTGTTTCTATGCTCATAATAACCAAATGTTTTTCTATAGGTTGATTTTGCTAATCGCTTTGTTGGAGGTGGTGTCACTGGTGCAGGACTGGTACAGGAAGAAATTCGCTTCTTAATCAACCCAGAACTGATTGTATCTCGTCTCATTACTGAAGTCCTGGATCACAATGAGTGCCTAATTATCACAGGTTAGTTTTTACAAACATCCTGCATAACGCATGTGAAACTAGTACCAAAAGATTGTAAAACTGTGTTCTCAGCAGCACTGGCTACAGTGCAATTGTCTAATGTATTTATTGACTAAAACTTAGTCAATGTGGTGTCGTATTGGATAGATTAAGGTCAGGAAACTCTTGTCTAAATCCCTACTTACCCATTAAACTCTACGAGAGATGTTGGGTTAGTAACCTGTTAGCTTAAGTTACCTCAAAGGGTGAGGCTTTCCATTTCTTCAAATTAATTGTATTTATTTAGAGGCCTGAACATTGGTGTGCAAGAAAGAAAAAGTTCCCTATGCAGTAAACAGAAGAAATTGAAGATGATCAGAGAGTGCCTAGGATGTTGTTTTTAACTTTCTATTATCACATTGTTGTCTTAAGCATAACGGAGGCTAGGCGGGGTGGTATCCTCATAGGATCTGTAAAATACTGATTCTATGAGGATCCCATATTCAAGTGTGTTAAAGAATAACAGAAAGTTTTTTAGGTCTTAAATTTTACTGTTGCTTCAACCTAAATTTGGAATAACTAAAGAATTTTCTGGGCTATATACTGTATTTTCTGGCATATAAGACTACTTTTTAACCCAGGAAAATCTTCTTAAAAGTCAAGGGTTGTCTTATACGCCGGATGTCGTCTTATAGGATGGGTGCTGAAACTTCCGAGCTGGACTGGAGAACCTGGGGTCGCCGCATATGGTGGGGGGAGCTCACAAACGGCCGTGGCCGCATCCCCGTCGTATGCGGTGACCATATGAAAGCAGCAAGGGTGACGCTGTACAAGTACGGGAGAAGAAAATCCATTCACCAGGATTTGTGGAAAGAAGTGACTTAACATGGTCCCGATGACGAGGTGAGGGGGCTCCTCTCCGGGCAGGTATAAGTGAAGTGCGGAGCAAACTGCAGGCATCCGGGATGCCTGGAATATGGAAAAAAGAGATAGAGCGGTGCTGTACCCAGAAGAACATGGCTCTTTCACCTGTCTGGCCTGCCCTTGTATCCTATTACCGTACCTCCTTCTCTACCTCTCAGATCTCGCTCCTGGGGACTGCAGTGAAGCGGTTCAGACATTGAATACTGGATCAATTCAATCAAAAATATCAAGTATATAAGGATTAGAGAAACACAAAGGAAAATACTGACTAAATGGTACAGAACCCCAATTAAACTAGCTCACATAACTAAAACAACCACAAAATTATGTTGGCACAGATCTGGAAAAATTGGCTCCTATATATGTGGTGGGAATGCGACAGCGTACAAGATTTTTTTTATAATAAGGTAAAGAAGGAAATGGAAGAATTAATAGGGCATAAATTGGTTTTGAATAAAAAAGAATTCGACGAGAATGAAAACATCAAAGCTTGGGGGGAAATTATAAAATACATGATAGTTGCCGCCCAAGCAACTGTGGCCTCGGGCGGAAAGACCATAGAAAGTGGGAAATTAAAAAATTGTATGGTTACCTAGCAGATTATATGCTTGAAGACTACATCTCTGAATGAAGAAGATGAAGTCTACATCTCTACATGCCAAATGAAGAAGATCTGGGTTCAGAAATGGGGAAGACTGATAGAAAAAATCAAAGGAAAAGAAAGATATAAAGAGCTGAACCATTCTCTTTCCACGATTGTTCAATTAAAGTAATATTTGTATGAAGAAAAGTACTGTTCCCAGAGGGTGGGGTGGGGGGAGGAGGAGAGGGGTGTAAAATTGATAGACACAAGTGGGAGATAAAGGTGGAATAGTTAAGAACACTATGAAAACAATATTTGATATGTATTCGGAAATGGTGATAAATTGTGATATCATTCTACCTGTGTCGGCAATAAAAACGTATATTAAAAAAGAGAGATCTGAGAGGCAGAGAAGGAGGTAAGGTAATAGGAAAATTACCATATTGAAATCAAATCTGGTGAGTTTTTTTTAATTTGGTGTGCATTGGAAGAGGGGTAGCCTTATATGGCAAGTATATCCCAAACTCTATATTTTAACTGGAAAAGTTGTCTTATATGTCCAGTTGTCTTATATGCCGGAAAATACAGTATAATTCTTGAGGTAGGTGAAAGGTAGATTGATGGCTATAATCTCAATTTTGATTCTTAAAAGAATAATAGAAATGAAAGAACTGATGATACATTTGAAATGGAAATATGAACAGGTGTTTATGTCTTATGCATCAAAAAACAAAAATGAATGCTTATATTTCTGAGGGACTAAGATTTTTTTCTGATTTTTCCCAGTGCACTTTACTTTATTACAGTGCTCTCTAATTAATATCTGTGATGCAATGTTCTGCTCCCTTAATGGAAACAGCCATTTCATCATCCTCATTTGATTCTTGGCTTGCTTCCATCTCAGTGCTTAAGCGAGTCTTTGCTGTGTTCAGCTATCTGCCTGATAAATTACAATCTTTCAATGATACATCTTGACTCATTGGGCCTAATGGACGTAACTGTGCTGCTGAAATTTAGAGAAGAGACCAAGAAATTGGAAGGAAATTAGATTTGTTGCAATTGCCCAGCATCTGCTTGAGATCACTATGCTAACGAATATGAAATTGGTCATGCAAAAAACAAGCAGAGGCGTTTTCTGACCTACCAATTATGAAAAGAGAATATCAGACATTAGTGTTGTGTTCTGGTGTTTTGCTTTGATACTTGCATCTGAAAATGTATCCTGAGCCTGAGAGTTAAGAGTGACAGGATTATGAAAATTAATGCAATTACATATTTGGATCTCACAATGGTTTTTCATGGGCATGTTACATCTGTTGTACAGTGAGACTTTACCGTAAGCTTCATCTATTCTATAGCATATCTGGTCGTGCAGTACAAAACTGTAAATACAGTATAGAATATTCTATGTTTTTAACACATCTGCCTTTATGAAGTGAATTTCTTCATTTTGTAGAAATCCCTTAAAGCTAGTGCAGTGTAGTAACAATTGTCCACATCTTATTGTTAATCCAACTAGAGTAGATGTGTTAAATTAGTGAGACCTTGATAAGTCTGCACCTATGTAAATTTAATGGGTTCAGTGGACACTTTCCTGGGAATAAAATGAACTGAATACTTTCATCAAAAAAATGCATTTGCATAAGATAGAAGAGATGAATTTTCTGGTCCAAATGTCCCAAGATATGGGTATAAAATGATCTTAGCAAGACCACTAGCTTTCTGGATGATATTATGGGTATGATTATCATGATTATGACATTCATTTATTTCTGGCCTTTCTCCCAATAATGGGACTCAAACTAAGTAATAGAAAATTAAATCAACAGGCATTAATAACAACAAAGATCAATAAAAGTAGAAATACCATAATTCTAAAAACAATTAAACATTTCATAAGTTAAAACAACATACATTGAAGCTATTAAAATGCATAAAATTAGCTTTATGTAAACCTTTAAAATATTGGTGGCAGAGTAAAGGGGCTTTCCAGGCACTCTTAGAGTTCATACAGGGAAATGCAATTAACTAGCACTCAAGTTTTATAAGACTGGAAAGCAGTTCACAAACACATACAAAATATTATCAAAATAAAGTTTGACCTGAAGCCCGAGTACTACCTGCTGAACATAATAGACTTCAAGGAGGAAAAAAATAAAGACAAGAATCTATTTTATTTATCAACAGTGGTGCGAAAAGTAATAGCACAGAAATGGAGAGAGAAAGAATCTCCAACAATTGAGGACTGGTTCATCAAAATAGTAGATTACATGAATACAGACTCATTAACGCAGCTATTAAAAGATCAGAACAAAATGAACAAAACAGATTGGAAACCACTGAGAATGTATCTCCAAGAAAAATAAATGAAACTTAATAAGTAAAAGGGAAGGAACAATCAGAACAAAAAGTTTCCTGAAACAATTAGGTAGCAGAACTTAAAGAAATAAACACAATACAGAAATAATATCTCCCTACATAAAGAAGAAAAGAAAAATAAGAGAAAAGAAGACGTTGATGTGGAACAACGCAAGAATACTTCCAAGTAGGTAAGCTGGCGACAAGAGTGATGGAGGTTCTCATGCAGGATAAAGGATACCAAATATACTAAAACACATCCAAGGCAGAAAGAAGGAGGAAGGGAAGAAAGGAGAGGGGGGAACGGATACCAGGAACGCCGCAGCCGGGTAGAGCTAATAGGAAAACAGCTCCCTCCCGAAACGGGACAGCAGAACCGGAGCCGATTTCGCAAAGCCCCCAGGGCGACCGGTGACCGACCCGTAAAGGGCCGATCGCCGAAAGCCAGGGGGTGGCGCGGCTCGAGGGACAGCGGGCTGCGGAAAGAAGCCTACAACACCAACACAAACCTTTAACCTTATTTAAAGCATTAGAAGAAGTATGGGAAGTACGGGAATCCCCCCCTACTCCACCCCTCCCCAACCTGACTGGAAAATAAAGCACAGCGGGAAAGACGAGAAGGGAAGTTCGGAAGAGTGATAATCGGACTTAATAGCCAAAAGTCTAACTAAGTTTCTCCAAGGCGGAAATTGGACTAATGAACACTGAAGTTAAACCACAGAATCAAAACTGACCTTGAAGTCGCCGACGGCAGGAGAGGCCTTATCTTATCTTCCCAAGCGGCCCTGAGGAGGAGACCTTGAGAGAAGGGCGAGGAGGAGGAGACTCCCACTGGGGGGAGGAAAGCGCCGAAGAGAAGCAGCCACGAGGGAGAAGAGGAAACAACGCTAGGAAACAACGCGAGAGGTGAGAAGGGGAAACAACGTGAGAAGGGAACACACGCAAGGCTTCGCGAGACCCCACGAGAGAGAAGCGACGAGAACCGCGCGAGAGGGAGAGTGAGCGTGGAGCGCCCTCGCGAGACGACGAAGAAGATAGCGGCCTTCTAGAAGGCGGAAACAAGGTAGAATAATAGGGATAGAAGCCACAGCAGAACAGAGGACAGAAGGAGGAAAGAAAAAATAGAAGAGAGAAACTAAAGAAGCCCGAAGAGGGA